AGCTGCTTATGTCTGCTGTTGAAAGCCTTGATAATGACTCCAAACAGAAGTCCGCGGAGCTTTTTTTCGGTGGAGACGTTCTACATGGCCGACTTAATGTTTAATTAATTAATGGAAACTAGAAGAACATACTTTAAGAAAATGGTACTTTTCAGGAAGGAGTTTTTCGTCGAGTCAGATGTACAGGAGGTCGAGTGTTTCATCAAAGTAACTGTCGAAATCGCCGCGCAAACTCGAAAAGATGTTCACCCAGAAGCCGACAGCTAAAAGGAAAGGGAGCGGTATGATGAACCAGATTCAGGTGAGTCAAATGTTATTAAGCTATCCGAGGGGCATAAAAGTGCTAAAAACTCTGCGTTAAGCGGCATAAAGTTCATACGCTATACTTATTTCTCTCATTCCCTTGAAATATTTGTGATAACACAATGAAGCACAAGTTACGCAATGTTGTGGTTTCAGGCTCTCAGTTAGGGGAGGTAAAAGGTTCATAGGCTGCAGATAGTAGTTTTGGATAGGAAAGAAACATCGACTTGGAGTGTAAGCTCGACAAAAAAGAGTACGACCTGCTTAACATTTAGACCAACAAAGACTGTATTTGTCCTTTTGGACAAGCTAAAATCAACCCCGGGCCGGAGAAGTTCGAAACTGTCGCATATATAGGTTTAATTGTAGTCTAGTCTATGACCCGTCATCTGGCATTGACGTCCACTGAACTATTAGCCTAACGTAGACAGGAATAGACTCAAATGCATTCGCAGGAAGCGGAGGACTGAGGTCGGATGCATCAACAAAAAATGCATTAACAGTTCTGCAAAATAATTGTAAACCATGAGTAAATTGGCGTTGCTGGCCTGCTTTTACGTTCTGTCGTGCTCTCACAACGGGGCAAGTGATAGATACGTTGAAACAGCAGAAGGCCAGATCAGGGCGCAGCAGGTGTCATTGGGGATGCGTGCCCATAACAAATGCTACATATAATGGAACATGGTAGCACGCATAGGTGTAGGCTCTAGCCGCGCCATTAACCTGCACCTGAGCTCGCCTCTTCTTTTTCTGACCCTGTTCTGACATCTGACGAGGGAGGAAAGAGTGCGACGGATTCTGTGCAAGGCTACTATCACTATACACCAATTCACAGGCAATTCACCGTCCCTGCACCCACCTAACTGTAGAATACGTGGTTGACATCGTTAGTAAGGACTGTCGAAAGCTTCATCAGCCGGTGGCAGACGTATTTAAGTAGCGAATAGGCGGCTGCAATTATCTGGTCAAGTGGATGTGGGGCAGTGAGTCTGGTAACGCTCGCAGTAAAGGTGAATGACCATGCGGCAGCTTGGCTTTGAAGAAGGACGCCAGGCATGTTGGGATTGTATATCGGCAGGAACTCCGTTTCAGCTATAAAACGTAGTAACTTCGTGCGAGGCTGATACCATGACCTTTGCAGAGGGAAACTTGGGGTAGCAAACGGAGTGTGTATTGTGTAGTGTTAAGGCTAATAGGGTTAACCCTAACGGCTGCGATCTTTCAGGCCTGGTTCCTTAGGAGAGGAGGGGGAAGTTATGGGAAGGGCAGAGTAGTAGGAAGAATATATTCTTTACAGGATTAATTAGAGAAGAGGCAGTAGGAAAGTTGATTACCAGACGACCGCACAGTCGCAAGCCAGTGGGCGACGTCTGAATTGAGGTCTGCTCGGCATTCGTCAAACGAGGTCCTGTGTGAGTCTATGGGTGTTAAGTTACGAACGATTAACCCTAACACCTACAATCTTCGAGGCCCTGGTTCCTTAGGAGATAGGAG